GAGAGAATCTAACCAATGAGAGCTGCAAGTCTATAATACGACTCCCTAAGCACCGATAACGGCCAATAGTTCAACGATGTGGCTCTGACGAGGGCCACGGTCGAACCCGACACCGTGGTAGATTTTGAGTTGACATGTCGCATCTGTGCTTCCAAGCCTTCCAATGTACGCCAAGAATTGGCGTAGATGTTTTCTTTGTTCGAGAGAGTGACTCATGAAAACTGACAGGGATTTACATTAATGGTATTAGGAGCGGACTGGGTTGTTGACCGTTGTTTCAGTCTAGACATTCTGCAACGGTTATCCAAATCCCGTACGTACGCTGGAGCTATTGAAGGGTTATTGGAAGCGTCACGAGTGGCAGTAGAGGCATATTGATATACCTCTATCGTATATATCGTTGAACTGCGAAGGACTCTAGTGTGTCGTCCAAGGTTGAGAACCATCAATACCTTACTCAAATTTGAGGAACCACATCGCGCATCCATGGTCTATCACCACAGACTGAAGAGAGTACCCTGGCAAAGCTCGCCAGCATATCACCCTCAAACCCATTGGCAGTTGAATGAATCAAATCCCGAGAGAACGGTTGCTTCCACTTGCACAGTTGCGGGTCTACTCCTCCATCCCTGAACGATTGGCTACCGGCTGTCCGGCTTCCAAAGCGCGGGCCACTAACGCACGGCCCGGAACCCGCAGGGCTTAGCGTGCCTTTGTCCCGGTACTCGTCCACCAATCGAGGGATTATTGACATGGTCTGTCCCCGGTTGAGCTGACAGGTTTCGTACAATGGGTTGATATCTCATGGGCAAGGATTGTAGGACTATTGGCATGTATACTCCGTATTGGACTTGTCATCTCCATCAAACAAAGAAACACCCCGGCTTGACTCGCTCGACTGCAGGACTACAATCTCGCTTATGCACCGTTGCCAGGGATATTTACAGAGCTCCACATCTACACAGTAAATCAAGGTTAACATACATGACATTCCCAAGGCAGAGTGATGCGTCAAATTAGGCAGCAAACGTATGGATCACACCATATCTTCTACTCTCTGTAGTCGCAGGGAAGTCACTAATATCGAGCCTTTATGACAATAAGCAACGGCGAGATGACGCGATGCAGAGCCAACCAGTCGGCAGCATATCTTTTCAGAACACCTAACCTGGCAAGCGCAAACGCCAGCTGAACGGGCTTTTCCTTGTTTCGCGCAAAGCATTGGAACAGACCGTTGATCCTCTGCTTTTCCTCGTCGGTGAGCGCCGCGTTGCCCCTCCAATAATCCTGGGGCCTTCGCGAATCAAGCCACCTGATTCCAGGCAGATAATGGTCCCATGAATCACTGGCAAAGAGAGCGCCAAACAATTGGGATGAGAGCGGATACACCCGATCGAGCCAGATCAAGGAACTAGAGATAAGGCCAAGCTCGTGCCTCGCGTGATCGGCAGCCCCAAGGTCGTCCATTGGAGCATTCTCGAGCTTGCTGGCTCCGACCGGCATGGTCAGGATCCGGCCCATTATGAACATCGTAAGACTGGACCGAGCGGGGTGAAACGAGGCCCGGAAAGAATGCCATTCGCTTCCCTCTCGAGTGGACAGGTCGATCTGACTGAGAATATCTCGCAGCGTTCTTGGGTTGTTGAGCCCCAGAATCCCGAGAAGATCTTTCAGGAACTCTACCTCCATAGGATATTCCACCTGGCAATGCCCGAGCGAGGCGGTCCAACTCCACAGAAACGATCCGAGCGAATAGACACTTTCGAACCCCTTGTCGTCGGTGGTAGTCCTAGCTACTTGGGTTTGATACAGTTGATCGAGGAAGCATTCCCCGAGGAAGACCGCACCGCTTAAACCGTCCAGGATGCGGTGGTCGTCTCTGCTCGCCCGGAGCTTTCCCTTGTAGACCACATCGTGTTCCACTTCAGCCCAAACATGCCGCAGCACAGAAACGACCTGGATTTCGACCTTTGTGTTGTGTGTGGGGACGCCCTCCTGGTTGACCGTTCCGTTCTTGAGATGCACTCGATAGTGCTTTGCGCAGTAGCCCGGGAACCATCGATCGTAGCCGCCGTGGATTGCTTCGTCAATGCCCATGCGGTTGATGGTCTTCTTTTCCACGACAATAAATTCGTCATTGAGTATGCGTTTGACCTGCTCCCCGTGCCGAGGATAGTAGAGAGCAATGCGCACGCCAGCCAGGTCAGATATGTCGTTTTTGATCTCGTCTCGGCTTGAGTAGACGTGGCCTCGAAGAAGTTGTCGTGCATATAGCTTTTTGCGTAGACTCGCTGCTTCTTTTGCTCGATGGCTGACTAGACATGGTATATGATTTCGCTCGAGGGCCGCCTCGCAGATTTTTCTAGCAGCCGTTGCGGTGTGGTTGTAAAAGTCCCGGTGTTTCTCGTAGGATGCGACAAAGTCTTCAATGATGGCCGAGGTTGAGGCCGTCCTTGATAAACCGAGATCTTCTCTCGTCTTTTTGTCCATGCTGCGAACAAGGAGATGGTTGCTTCTATGCCAGAAATTGACTTTGACCACTGTCTCGGTACTGGAAGCAGCGGGAACAAAAAAAAGAAGCTGCAACAAGATAGAATCACTGCCGTATTTATTACCCTTCCTTTACTCCCTGAATTGGGCCTCAAAAGGATGAGGAGATGGTTCCAGCTCATGCAGGTCGTATGCTGCGTGACCACTCCTAGGACCAACCGCATTCATAGCAGAGTCAGCTATACAGAGAGACGCATGTTAGTGTTGTCGATCCCTGCACGATATGATAGATTATGCAGACCAGCAGCCTCTGGCAAATCAGAGCTCCGCCTGCCCTTGGGTTAAGATTGGATGGCGTAGTCACTGTACTTTAGCATTACTTATCGTGACAAATGGGAGGACAGTATGATCTTGGTCTATGCTGTTATTTCTGAAGGGATCCTCATTCTGCGCTAGTCCAGCCAGCCTCATCCGACTATTATCACTTGTACATGTAATGAATGAGGAATTGAGGAGACTCCTGCCATTATGAAACGTCCTTGAAGTTCGCCACGTACTCTGACGATTCTCTTGGCGTTGATGTTGGATGTCCGGAAATGGTATTCCTCGGGGGATGCGGAAGCCCTTCACCGTTGCTTTATCTTATCCGCCTGCAACGTCATGGAATTTGCAAATATGCGGTCAACGAGTGTCTTCATCTTGTGTCAGAGGGGATAATTAGAATTTGGTCCATTCACTGACATTCCATCTAAATAGGAGAATTTGCCCTTCTACCTTCCTCCTTTCGTTTTAGTCAGCTGACTCGGAGATATATATCACACAAGCTTTGATCGAAGTTATAATTATAAGCATCTAGTAATCCAGTCCTCTTCTAGTATAAGTGCCATCTCTCTTGACCTTGCTCAATCTGAAAATGGAGATGTGAATAAATGGATACGTTTCATCTGCATGCTTTGTCCTCAGCGTTATTCCTACCTTCTTACTTCAATAACTACAGCACCCCCACCACCTGGTCAATATATACTGAAGCAACTCCTATCTCTGCTATGACATATAGATAAAGGCTCGGAAATTTTCCTCCTTTATTTGAAAGTGTTTTATGGGTTTCTTGATATTGGCTGGTTTTCTTGCTGCCTGAAATACGAGTTGATGGTCTTATGATACTCTAAGGAAGTTCCCCTCCAAGACTGTCCCGACCATCAACCATAATATAAAGTCTACGCAAAGAATAAAGGGAGAGAGATGAGTAGATAAATTCGCACCTCTTGACGATAACTCTCCCCCAGGTTTCCTCACATCTGCTGTTAGATATACCTTCACACTACACAGGCGAAATGTCGCAGTCAATCTACTCGTCCTTAATCCCAGAGAACCACATCGCGCGACTGTCCACAGAACTCAAAGCACAGGACATTCCCTCAAATCCATCCTACGGCATCGACTCCCCTCTTGGCCTCATCGCCTCCAACGTCCTATCCCCGCTCTACCTCTACGCAACAATCAAAGGCAAATTCCAAGTGTGGGATGACCTCCTCGCCAGCCTCCCCGGGGAAACTTTCAGGTCACCCACCCTCGATCTCGGCTGCGGCCGAGGGATGGTCCTGCTGAAGATCGCACAAATCAAAATACTACTCGACTCTTCAGAGTCGCCCGTCCCCCCTGCATACGGCATCGACCTATTCGTCAAAGGCGATCAGAGCGGGAACTCGCCGGTGGCAACTTACAAGAACGCCGCTGCGCTGGGGGTTTGCGAACAGACGGTTCTGCACACAGGGAGTTTTGCGGAGTTGCCGTTTTCCGATGGGGCGTTTTCGCTGGTGACGGGCAGTCTGTCGATTCATAATGCAGATAAAGCGACCAGGAAGAAAGCGATAGGGGAGGCGGCGAGGGTGTTGATGTCGGGGGGATACTTGGTTGTGGTTGATATGGCGGGGTATGTCGGTGAGTATCTAAATACAGTCAAGGAGATGGGCTGGACAGATATCTCGAGTGAGTTTGGGGGCATGAGAATTATGTATGGAGCGTGGCCCTGTCAGATATTGAGGGCCAGAAAGCCGTAATCTCCACCTTCATCTACATACAGATGGACATAAAATTAGGCATCTGGATTTCTTGGGCATTGCTCTGCGGTGATTGGTCATAGCAGAATGGAATCATTCTGTCAGTCGGTGATTGGTTCAATGTCGTCCACTGCCCGAGCTTATTGCGATCAAGCAATCAATGGTACTCTTGGCTGCCGCGTCAGCCAACTTGAAGGATAAATCGGAATGATTGTCGCGCGCTAGAGGAATATCCCTCAAAGCTCCCATTTTTCTTAGTTGATCACACTTAGCACATATTTTCAGTATGATGGGATCTCTATCAACTGCCGATGATAGCGAGGCGGGAAGCTCCTCTTGCCAGGATACCTTCGCCTTATTGGAGATGAGTCCTGGTGACCTTGCAGGCCGAAAAACATTGCCACATGACGTCTCGGACCATCTACATAGCAGCTACAAGCGCAGACGAAGATGCCAGTGGTTATTGCAGCTTGTAAATAAGTGGAAATGTTCTCATGTCGAGTGTAACGCACGTCCACTATCTCGACGGGCAATCATCTGCAGAGGTGTCAAGAGACCTTTGTGGGCATTGATTTGGATATTGTAAGTCCGCACACACTACATCCTCATTAGATACTGACTTGCTGTTTAGAGGATTCTTAAAGGTGCTCTCACTGGTGTGGACCGGTCTAGTCCACCTTTTTCCCGACGACCTCGATACCCGTCTAGGCGCCTGGGTCTTCCCCGGCGGACAACCGTCTATATTCTCTCACTGGGCCACTCACGGGGTCACTCCCGTGCAATGCCACTCACACAATGACTACTGGCGGCCAGTCCCGCTCTTATCAGCCATGAAAGCCGGCTGCATCGGCGTCGAGGCGGACGTCTGGCTCTCCGGAGAAGATCTCCTCGTCGGCCACAACCGTTTCACATTACACCACGCCGCCACACTACGTAGTCTATACCTTGATCCGCTGCTGGATCTTCTTGAGCAGCATAACACCCGCTCCAGTCGGCTGCAGCCCGACAGAAATCAGGATCTGGCAGGTGTGTTTGCTCACGACCCATCCCAGCCACTCGTTCTTCTCATCGATTTCAAAATGGACGGCAACGATACATGGCCCTACCTGGTTGAGCAACTCGCACCGCTTCGTGAGGCAGGATACCTTACGCATTTCGATGGAGCGGAGATGGTCCAGCGCCCTGTGACAATTGTCATCTCGGGCTATGCCCCCTTCCATCTTATTACTGCGAATAGTACCTACCGTGACATATTCCTCGACGCTCCCTTGGATAAACTAGATCAAAGCGTTCCGGAATCTAACACAGGGGAACCTTTATCAGCTGCAGGTGCCGGCTATAACTATACAAACAGCTACTACGCCTCCGTCGACTTTCGCAAGACGATTGGATCGCTATCCCGGAACCGCTTCTCGCAGGACCAGCTTTCTCGCGTCCGCGAACAAGTCGCAGCGGCTCATGATCGCGGCCTCAAGGTCAGGTACTGGGGGACCCCGACGTGGCCGCGGGGCCTGCGGAATCATGTCTGGCATGTTTTGGTTCGCGAGGGGGTGGATTATATCAATGTGGACGATTTGGCTGAGGGGACGATGCAGGATTGGAGGAAACATCGGAGTTGGTGGTTTTGATTTGCTTTGCTTGAGCAATGGAATGGAGTTTGCCTTGTGTGTTCTTTCGCGAATCGAGGAGGTCAGGTATCATCCTTGTCAAAAACCTAGAATAAAAGCTTCAGTGGTAGCGGAAGGCTCAATAAATTTGATTTACTGTCAAGCTCTTGTTCGCCGGCTTTGCTCGGTAAGTATTGGAAATTTGAAATGAGTAGATATCGACTCGAGATCGCTTTTGATGTTGGTACGGCATTTCTTCCGGTTATGTCTTCAGTTGAGACACATTGTCAAAGAATTATTGGTTGGGGATAGATTGCGAAACATTTTCTCATGCAGTGTCATCTATGTTTTTGAGAGTTACTATAAACATGAATGAATAATACTTAAGTCTGTGCATGTAGTAATGATCATAAAGCATGTCGTTGCTTTGTGTCCGGCATCCTTTGTCTTAAGATCAGCGGCTCCAACTTGGACGACAAGCGATATGAGACAGCATGTTCTTATATAATCCCTTTGTAGTGGCCTCTAAGACAATGATTATAGATTGCAGATCACAGGCCTTTCTTTCCATTCAGTCTCTTTTCGACATACATGTCGCAAAGGAGCACTGTCAGTTCTTTCACAGTGTCTCTCGCCCTAGATTAGGCTGTCTTGACGTTTTTCAAGACAATGCAATTATCTGTCCAGATACTGCTTCGAAGATGTCTTACTCTTGTATATAAATTCAGTCCGATATCCTGCCCAAGTCTCTTCCCATCCAAACTAATCCTCTGAACTACTGCTTCTCTCATCAACTTTCAATACCAAACTTCGAACTCTACATTCCACACATTCAGCCATTAAAGAAAGGTACGCATCCTCAGCAAAATGTCTCCTCTCTATCCCGCTCAATCCGCCGAGCAAACAGCTCAGACCACCGAGAATGGCAACACCAAAGCCACCAACACCCACCAATGGACTCACATCCTCTTCGATATCAAAACCTCCCCGAAGAAACTGACCCCAATCCTGCTCGAGTCACTGCACCACAAGCTCCACCACAGCGACGTCAAGGTCTACCCATGCTTCGACGTCCTCCGAGACGCCGGTGCCGTCAAGCGCGGCAATGTGGTCTTTGCCTTGTCCACTGCGGGCTTGAATTCCGACCAGGTCATCATGGCTGTGCGGATGAAAGTCCAGCATTTGATCATGGACTGGGATAAGGGCGAGCTGAGTGGTGAGGGACTGTGTTTGGTTACGGACGATAAAATGGTGAGTCGTGGATGGAGTTTCCTGGGCTATAAGGCTTGGAAGGAGCAGAGCAAGCGCCGCTGGCTGTCTGTATAGATGGTTCGGCTAGGGGATATTGACGGAGGAAGGAGACTGGAATGGACGCAATGTGAGTGCTTTTCAGTTCTTAGTTCATTTCCCTTTTATTCAATTTCTTTGGACTATCTGCTTTTCGATGGTTTTCGGTGGTGCAGTTGCAAGCCGGTGACCTTGTTTAGTGGAACAGATCCGAGTTCGAATGCATCATTTTCGAGTTGAATTCCCTCAAGCATATTTGTACCGAATGTAAGGGATTAATAGATCCATTCCTTGGCTCTTTCGTAAACAAAAGCCCGTAGCAAGTGTCACGTTATGATGCTGTCAAGAGAATCAGCGGTATCAAAAGAGTTTGGGTTCTTTATTGCGCAGAATGAAGTATAGCAGGGGGTGAAGAGTGTAGTGGGAAGAACGCATACACTCTACGCGTCTCGCGGTTATAGATGGTATTCAGGGAAGCCCTCTTTGCAAGCTAACTGCAGAGTCGAATCAACCTGCTTAATTCAAGTACTGCGTTCACAGAATCCAGAAACACATTGTGGCCACAAACATTAACTCAAAGAACCCAAGCCTTGGAATGTGTAAACCGCGTTCCTCGGGTGCAAATGGGAGTTCCTTAATCTATCCTTGATACAAAGGCTTTCAGCTAGCAATAGTTGATACAGACAGCGAAGGTTGAGTACACAAAGGATTCCTTCCCCGTTCTCTCACAAAGTCAGCTAGTCACTTGGCCAGGCCATAGTACACCTCTTCGGAGGAAAGAGGTGAGTCGTAGCTTTCCCCTTCTACAACGGCCCTGTAATTTTAGGCTCTATCTACACTTATCCTGCTCAGTACTGGTTATGGGTACTTAGGCATGAGGACCGGCTACTGTTGTCTACGGTAGTCCGCTGATGGCCCGACATCATTTCAGCCAAGACAGGATGCCAGAAAGTTGGAGACGAGATAATCGCTAGCCCTCCAATCTGAATAATACCTCAAAATCTCCAGCCCGCTGACTACACTTTCATCACGGAGCTGTCTGCGCCTAGACTCATCCCCTGTCTCCCCACACCTAAGACATCCTGAGACCGACCCTGTCACAGATTCAGCCTGAATCCCGCCGGTGGGGCTCAGGGTCCAGAGAAGGTGCCAAGATGGTCAAATCTCCGCATCGATGCCGGTTGGGGTAATGGGAATGTTAATCCGCGACAAAAACAGGGGTCAAATAGATGAACGACGGCAGATGGAAAGTTAAGAGTGCCGTGTTGTAGTCCCTTGATCTCCTGTTTTGTCGCGGATTTGAAGGCACACAACCCCTTCTCGGTAATATTCCGTACATCCTTGTCGTTTGGCATTATTTAAAGTCATATTAGCGGGAAGTATAATCTTCGTCAGGCGATGTAGTGTTTCATCGTGTGTTTAACCGGAGTTTGTGGACCGTTTGTTGGGTTGTTGACGGGAGGAACATCTCAAGACATGAGGCCGAGGGGAGTATATAAAGAGCCATCGCGGCCTGCAGAATGGGCATACAGAAAGCACAACCCTTCGACACGATGAAGATACTCCTCCTTCTTCTCATCTCCACCCTCGCGGCGGCAGCCCTGCCCAGCAGCTTCAAATGGAGCTCCAGCGGCGCTCTGGTCGGCCCCAAGAATGATGGGCGCAACATCGCAGGTATCAAAGATCCCTCCATTGTCGAAGTGGACGGGACATACCACGTCTTCGCCAGCACGGCCACAAAGGCCGGCTACAACCTCGTCTACTTCAGCTTCAAGGACTTCAACCAGGCCAACCAGGCCACTTTCCACTACCTCGACCAGACCCCGATTGGGTCGGGCTATCGCGCCGCGCCGCAGGTCTTCTTCTTCAAGCCTCATAATCTCTGGTACCTGGTCTACCAGAACGGCAACGCTGCTTACTCGACAAATAAGAATATCGCCAACCCAGCGGGCTGGAGCGCACCGAAGAATTTCTTCAGTGGCATGCCCAGCATCATCGCCCAGAATAAGGGCAATGGCAACTGGGTCGATATGTGGACTATCTGCGATTCAAGCAACTGCTACCTGTTTTCCTCTGATGACAACGGCCACCTGTACCGCTCGCAGACCTCGTTGGCCAACTTCCCCAACGGCATGGGCAATACAGTGATTGCCCTGTCCGACTCCAACAAGAACGCCCTGTTCGAGGCGTCGAACGTCTACAACGTCGGCAACGGGCAGTATCTTCTTCTCGTTGAAGCCATTGGCAGCGATGGACAGCGGTACTTCCGCTCCTGGACCTCGAACAGTCTGGCAGGAACGTGGAAGGGCCTGGCTAACACCGAGTCGAATCCCTTTGCGCGCGCGAACAATGTTGCCTTTAGCGGAACGCCTTGGACAAAGAGTATCAGTCACGGGGAGATGATCCGCACGCAGACCGATCAGACTATGACTATCAGTCCTTGCAAGCTGCGGTATCTGTATCAGGGATTGAGCCCGTCGGCAAGTGGGGATTACAACTCGCTTCCTTGGAAGCTTGGTCTCCTCACGCAGACCAACTCTAATTGTTGAGCTTCGAGGCAATTGTCTGGACTGATTCTCTGATAACGGACTTTGAGTGTGGTGGTCGCTAAGTTAGCCAATCAGGACTACTGGATTGTAATAGCTTACTTGATGGCAATACAAAGAATAGAGGGTTGCTTAAGTTCCTCGCTCTTCCAATAAGTTTATAGCTCTTTGTCTGACTAGCATCTTCCAACACAGAGTAAAGGTGCCAACGACGAATTTCGTTCTGGTAGACTCCGAATTAACCTTTGACCGAAAGCCTCAATGCTCTAGTGACATGTCAACTAGTTGCTAGAATAGAGACGTCCTTGAGGCCGATGGCCTCCAGGGACATCTCGGTTACCCCCATGGCCAATGCACCAATATGAGGAACCGTGGTCGCTGGCGGCTACAAGCCCTGTTGCATGAAGATGCTGCGGAGGTATCGTCTTCGTGTCAACGACATTTGTAGAACGAACGAGATCGGAGCGAATCAGTTGAAGCCGATCGAGATCTTCGAAGTCGGTGATAGAAATCGGCCAGGACAAAATGATGATGATCATTCGGTGAGCATTTGGTTAACCAAGCTCCCTTGAAGAAGCAGCTGTGGGTGTCTGTCGCGGACGAATTTGTAGACCCGTTCGAATGTACTGCGTGATACGCATGGGCCCACCACATTCCACTCCCCACTGCTCCTGGAATCATATGCGTAGAAGTCAATATCAAAATGCGTGTCGTGGCCTGTCACAAGATCCAGGAGACTCTGTTGGTATTGGCTGTTGACTTCGAACAATTCGAGATCCCAGGGGGCACAGAACTCAACCCGAAGCCGTCTCAGATTAATAAAGTCCTTCAGCCTCGAGACCTGTATCCACTCGGGACACAGCCCGTGCACCTGGCTGATTTCTATCATCCGGACGCTGGTTGAGAATCTTAGCATCGCGGTGAACGCGGCGATAAAATCCTTGAAAGCGTCATCGCTGTCATCGAAATCACAACCCTCCCACCGAAACTTCTAAGGGGTTACGACGGCGGCGCTTGGCCGAAGGGGACCCAGAGGAAGAAACGAGAAGCCTTTTTGTTGCACCCTTGACCTTGTCGATGGTAAAGGAGGGAGGACGACGAGATGTTTCTGCATCCGAAACAAAAGGGTCATTGGCGACAGACGAAGCTTTCTCGAAGCGCCGGCGCGCGCCCGACGCTGGAGTTGAAGCTCTCTTAGAATCTCGAGTACGACCAGAACAAGTCTGGCGTTTAGTCTCCGTCGGGGGCGGAGAAGAGGCCATCGATAACCTCGTCTTTGGCCAGAGGCCCAGGGCCGGGACCAACCGTAGAAAGGGAGAAGATCTCCTCAACTTGGTTCTAGTGACTTTTATCTAACTGGCCGATTCTTGGGACGCCCGAGGCCCCTTTCGGCTCGCAGGTCCTTTATTTTATCACGAAGACGTTCAACCCTCTGAGAATTCGCTCCGCTAGCTTTAAGAGTCCCCAGTCCGGTCTCTATCATTGTGTGACATTGTGGAAGAAAAACAGATGCCTTTCGTTTGGTCAGCAGAGCATCCGGCAGACACCTTCCACGAACTGCGCACACAATGCAGGCGTGGTTCTTCTATAACAACTTATGTTAGTCTACTCTGACGCATAACATTTGTGAATAAGTATAAGGTTGCTCACATTCGCAAGCTACGTCGATTTGGAGAAGGATATGTAGAAACAGTATACTTACCTCTTGTCGGAGATAAGCTTGCTAGTAGGATGTACGCAACATGGCATAAGCATGTTGGTAGACAATGGCCACAATATTCCCCAGCGAGAAGGGGAGCGTCAAATAAAATAAACCATAGAACATGCGAGGATCACGTAGTGGAATAACCAGAAAAGGAAGCCAAAGGGCATGTGAGAATAACGGCAACATAGCTCATCATCAGGTTCCTTTGATGAATGAAGGTATCGTTGTCCTATGGACCCACGGAACCCTGCAATTGAATATTAGCACACTAGGTAACACTAAACCACAAAGCAAAGGGCATACTAGTTCCTACTCCTATGTCAAGGAGTCTGTCCTCTGTCTGATTGAGTAGTCCCTGGTATACCCATCGCACTTGGCATTAATACACCAAAGACCTTGATTTAGGCAGTCGAAAGCCTCGTCGGCCCTCGTTTTAAGGGAACGAGTGAGGGGCCAATCTCTGATTGGCGTCGTTGCAAGGGTTTGATCTTCATCAGAGGGCCCTTTCAAGTACCAATCATCAAGCAATCGCAAGAGGTTGCGGAAAACAGGCACGTACAAGGTGTCAGCGTCAAATTTAGGTGGGTCTTGACATCCAGAAGGAGGCGGGTGGCTGGCAAACCCCATGGATACAGCGATGGGTCATTATCTTTGCTGATTGGTAGCATTGGGGTTCGTGTTCAAACAGGAGAAAGAAGATAGACAGGAGACTGGCGATCCAATCTGCAACCATTTATCAAGATTTAGAAGACAGCGATAATCAAGACACAAATCAGGATTCGTTGTCAGTCATTGATGTCGCAAACCACTGCGGCGGGCTTCAAGCAAGGGTTTCCAGGCACACTGAAACCGAGGAATTAATTTTTATCGCAATGGGAACTTGGACTGCGTCAATTTTGAGAGACTGAACCTCCTCCTGGGTGTGTTACCGTCAGCATCCCCGGCATTCAAGTAGTCCTGTCTTTGGGATACGGCGACGTCCCTCTGTCTAGGTCCTCCGAAGGGCATATCGTCTTTCTCCCAAGTGTGCTTCTTACAAGCATAACACGTTCGGTAGCTCCAGTTATCAGACTTTCTGGAGCATACTCGGTGACTTGGCATTGTTTCCATCAATTTCTGCGAAAGCGGATCTTTCAGAGGAACCGAGAAAATCGCCAGTTGATCCGAGACCACTGTAATAGGCATGAGTTAGTGACTGTTCTTGTTCTTCCCATGACACCGTCAATATAGTCAGTAACAGAACTGCGTCATTCTGGGGGACCTCACCCAGACAGAAACAAACTAAGAAACCATTTCCACTGACAGTAACTTCTGATTTAATTCCCGGATCTGGACGCGGTTTTCCTTGTCCTCAGGACCTGATGCCAGAATCGCCTCGTGGAGCTGTTTTTGCCTTTTGGTTTGTCTGATGATTGACAGAATCCATCTCTATGGCTCTAATTATCAATTGAATAATGGGTCGGCAGAGACCTCAAGAATGTGTTGGACTAGGTGACAGTTGTGCCTCTTCTGGTCCATTAACTGGACCGGTGTCTTTCGTCAGTTTGAGAGGGCCTGTTATTATGCTTTGGGCAAGTTGGTGCAACGTAGATTTTGCCCAGCCTCGATGATGTCTTCAACCAGGCTAACTCTCCCATCTTGTGGGAGGTATTTGAATGTCTCCAAAGGAGCTTCAGGGTGTCGTCTTTGCAAAGGGCATGTAGTTCAGTGTGGAGCGTACATCCCCGGCATCTCTATAAAAATGGCGAGTGTAGGAAGCCGCGTGTGTCCAGAGTCAGGTTCACGATTCCAACCGGTGACTAGCGGAGGCAGACATCCAGATTCTGCACCATGAGCCACGGCATGTGCTATTAAGTATTCGTCTGATGAACCACATTGAAGTCAGTACCATATCCGAGAACCTTCATGTGAAGGCAGTCGTCTTACTGGAATAATCCTTAGACAGAGTAAGGAATTGTGTCGATTATGTGTGGACGTATGGATATGTCGAACGGTTTCTGTATACCAGGTTGAGGGAAGGCAGATGATGAGAGTGCAGGAGAAGAAGATATCTGAAGGGGTGGCTACAGACTTATATAGAGCCAGACACCCCTTTAAGTAGATGAGAGTAGTGAATGGAATCCATTGAATGCTAGAAGGTATTGCCTCTTTATAGAGAGGCAATTACAAAGACAGTGAATATGGATCAGGGATAGCAAACACATTCACCTGAGAAATGAAGAACTTAATGCCGGTATTCCCTTTGATGACCTGGCCACTAAGAGATACGGTATGTACTCTCCCTTTACTACTTTACAAAGGGCAGGTGAGCTGAATCCTGTCTTCTTTATCGGCTCTATGGCTGTGATTCTAGGAGCCGGGGGAATATCAGCAGGGCATTCTAGTTCAAAGGACAACCGGAATACCAAGCCAACTAAGACACAAAGATAAGAAAGAAAAGTAGTAGTACATGAGATATGGCTATAGAGGAGCCGTATTGTAAACTAAAAGTGAAGGAGAGTCGTATTCGACGAAATTCTTTGTTGCCAAAAGCATCAATCACCTCAGAACCGCGAGGGTTGGAACCTTCGGTTAAGGTATATTGGGCTATTGTTAGACTAAACTAATCATCAAGCCATCCTAACGCGAGCAATCACGGTCATAATCTCATACCAAGGCAATGATCTCATTCTCCTTTGCTTTGAGAACATCTCCCGCCTCCCCCATCTCTACAAGTGTCTGTCTCTTCCACCCCTCAGCTTTGTCGTACACCAATTCCCAGACCGAGCGATCATCCGCACACTTGGTGGACAGGTACGCCATTGCCAGCATGGTCGCAATGACTGTCAGATTAGAACCTCTGCTATCCTTCTGAAATAGCTTCATCAGCCGAACTCGAATATCCCGCTCATCTAGCCCTAGGACCTCCATCAGCTCCGCTGACCAAGTCCAGTACCCCTCGAACGACTGCAATGCGATAATCCTGTGAACTGTGCTTGCCCCTCCGGCAGTCTCACTGGGGACAGTAGGAGACGCAGGTGTATACCCGACCGAGCCAGCGGAGTCTGCGCTTTCCATCTCCATCATAGCATCTTCCGAGACGGGACCGGGAGGACAGACGGCCGGCTGCATCAGCGCATCAAATCCGAATCCCATCCCTGGAGCCGGAGGTGGAGGTGGTGGTGATCTTGCAACTGCAGGCGCACCGAATAACGACTGTGGGACTCCTGTTGCGCTTGAAGAATCTGCGAAGCGGGCGTATGAGCTTGACGGCGATCCTGCGGTTTGCCTTGCCAGTAAGCGTGCACTGAATCGGGTCGGTGGCGGTGGTGGGGGTGGCACTATTTTCCTATGCGCTTTTGGGGCTAACCGCCTGTTTCTGGCACGAACAGGGCCGGGTGCCGATGCGAAAACCGCGTGGACGGTATTTTCTTCCTGAGGAGCCTCGGGGATAGGAAGGTTGGCAATATCCGTCTCTTTCTCCTGATCCGAGGTGCTGTCTTTCTGCAGGGCGATGAAGGAGCAGTGCTTGCCGGTCACTTGGAACTGGGTCCCAAGTTTCTCACATTCACGAGCGATGATACGTTCTTTCGAGGCGGGATGGAGATTATTGACTGGGTTTCCGTTGCTGGTTGCGGCGGCGAGCCAACCGTGTCCTTCCTCGAGCTCGATCATGGCTTTTCGGACGGCAAGTTGGTGAATGGTCTCCCCTGTGCCGATGTCGTCGATTGGAATGCGCAGGACGAGCGGACCTTGCTTTGAAGTGGCGCGGAAAATGAGGGCTTTGGGGGTGTGCATGGTTGCTGGACCCAGGAGGATATATGCTGTCGTTCGGATAAAAGGGTAGAGAGGCGGGATTTTGTATGGTGCTTGGATGGTTGGGGGAGGTGTGAGCACCGGTAGGGGTTCTTCGTCCATCCTCTGCTCGTTCTCCTTGTAGTCTGCATCAAAGAGGGAAATCGGCTGCTGCTCCTTTTCGGTGTCATCAACGGTCATGGTCTTCGGCCGCTCCGGGAGAACGACCTCAAAATCCTCGGCACCGTCATCGTACTCGACCTCCAGCTTATAGTCGGAAATATGTGGCGTCAGTGCTCCCTTGAGCATGCGCACCACCTTCCTGTCCAGCTCTTCGTAGTTCACGACCAATTGCGAGAAGCCATTCCCGGCGCGCGCAATCCCATCGACGAGCGAATGCGACGCCCCATCGCCAATTCCGAGTGAGAAGAACCGTGCACTATTGTCAGCGGCCGTCTCACGGATGAATTTGAAGAGCGCTTCTTGGTTCCAGATTTGCCCATCCGTTAATATCAAGACCTCCAATTCCTTGTCCTTCATCCGACTGTGGACCGTAGCCTCAACGGCCTCCTGCATCTCCGTTCCGCCCATATCCGCACGGACGCCGTCGACAAAGCTCAGAGCTTCCTGGAGGCTCTCGGCATTGTAGAGAAGACTCTGCTTCCACAGAAAGGAGTACGAGCTGCCGAAAGAGCAGATATTAAAACACACTCCTACCGGGAGACTCTTGAGAAAGACCCTGAGGGCTGACTTGAGCGTGTCGATTTTCTCCATCATGCTTCCACTGCGGTCGATCACGAAGATAATCTCAGGTTTGATTGGCTCAAGGCCAAATTTCGGGACAAGAGTCGTCATGATCGCCCGTTGGCTAGGGATAGTCGAGTGAGTCTCCAGCATCGCACGGGGCGTGTCGAGTCCATCTGCCTTGACGAGGAGGACAAAGTCGCGCGACAGCGAGGTCCGATCTTCCTTTAGATTGACACTTGCAGACGCCTGCGCCGGATTGAAATCCTTGTCAGACGCACTGGACACCGACACCCGTCCCAGCGCAACACTCAGCGAATGACTCGTCGACTGGATCTCCCGGATAACAGCCGTACTCTCCATCTGCACATCCACAGTGATGGAAATACCCTGCACATCTGCCTCCGGCGGCATTACCATATCCTCCGCCTGGGAGCCGTACCGCGGCGCGATAGAGTTAGGCAGCGTATACCGCACCGCATCAGTCTGCGCATCCTGCTTCAGCTCCCCGACGAGGGTAAGCTCTACTACAACCTTCTCTCCAGGCCTGACATTTCCAAGTTTAATGGAGAATACGTCCGAGGCACTCAGCGAATGAGACATCAGCGCTGCAGACTCGCCCTTTGAGACGGCATTGTCGTATTCCGCCTTGGCTTGCTTGCGTGGTTTCACGCGGCTGTGCAGGGTGCGGTCGCCGATCTGGCATTTGAAACTCACTACGCTGACACCATCGTATAACGGGAAGGTATATGAGACTTCTTGCAGGATGTTCTTGGATGGGTTCGTGTATGTCTGGGTGAGGATTGTTCTGGAAACGGACGACAGGATAGTCGCGTGGGCTTTGATGCCAATACGGGGTAGGTAGATAGGCTTTGCTTGAGGGTGGGTGTAGTAGATACACCCGCAGAGATATGTGTACGTCATTTTGGTTCTCATCTGTTGTTGATGGTGAGAGAAGATATTGATCGGGTGGAGATCTATATATACGGATAGTACTAGTGGCGATAGTGCTTGTAGGCAGCAAGCGGTCGAGCCTTGTCCACCAATGAGTCATGTGGGAGCCTAAAATCACTCAGCCACTGGATTTATAAACCTTGTCTACTTTAGCTTGCAAGTCAAATAGTGTTCTGATGTACTCCGTAACTAATCTTGATATAGTTGAATCATGATATGACTCGCTAAATTATCCTGTTTCGGAATACCGCCAGTCATCATTAATTCTGTTCAACTGACATCGATTCTCGTCAATACCTTCATATGACACACACATGACAGGGATGTCGTTTCCTCTTTATTGATACTTCTATTAATGCTCCACGCTCTGTCGCTACAGAAATCACCTCGCGTCTAGAGCTTCTGGTCCATTTTGTATTGTGGTTGAGTATGGCGAACGCCTAGCCGCGGGTATATATATGTAGTGGGACGCCAGATAATGGTATCCATCATCCGAGGTCTCATCAGAAAACACAAGTGTATGGCCTTTTCATAGATGTGACAATTAGCGACGGACAGAAAACTACATTATGGATTGCAATACTTGTTTACGTCGTCTCCTCAATCCTGTTGCCTGGTTACGCTCTGAGTGGCCGACAACTGGTGATAGATCAAGTGGAACGACGACATTCGAGTTTGAGGACTGTAGATAAACTTTTAAGCGGTCAAGCATGACATTCACACTCTTCAGCCAAAACGACAAGTCATGAATCACTACAGCTTGACCTTCCACTTCCACCTCCAATCCAACAAGGCCCATCGAGCCATGACTACACTCACCAGTCCCACCATGAGAACCGCTGAGTAGAAACCGATCAGCACCTGCGGCGTAGTCGACTGCAGTAGCTCTCCTCCAACAGGAACAGTCAACAACACTCCAAACGCAGCAACACTGTAGATAGTGCCGTAGAATCTCCCATATTCCTCGGTCCGACACAGCTGGCCCGCACAAACAGGCGCCAGGGAGAGCCATCCCCCAGACCCAAAGCCAAAAACAGCGACGACGGCATACAATGTAGCTTGACCGCGAGAGCCAAATGGGAGCCACACGGTGCTCATCACCAGAAGCGTCATGACGACCAGCGCTAGAAGAATGTTGAACCGGCCGAGTTGATCCGCTGCTAGACCGGGAAGCACACGGCCCAAAAAGCTCATGCTGTTGAGTAGGGTAAGGGAGTAGAATTGGGCGTCGAGAGAGAAACCAGCATAACGGACGTACGTGGGCAACAGCGCTGCGCAGCCAAAGATGATAAACTCAAACGAAAAGACCGCCACAGCGAGGAAGCATAGCCGTGGAGACCTGAAAGCCCCAAAATCAACGGTCGCGCGGCTGCGATGACCGGTCGGAAGTCGTCCTTTGACCAGGATGATGCCGGCCGTATAGCAGCCAACCGCCATGAATGCAATCGTTCTGATAGCCCATGTCCATCCCAATTGCGGGAAGAGTTTGCGCAGCAGCAGAGGGATGATTGCCCCTCCGGCGGAGGAACCGCCCATGCAGATTCCCGAGGCGAGCGCCCGGCGACGATTGAACCAGTGGCTCAGCACGGCGATGGAGACGGTTGTAATGACTGCAGACGAGATGCCTCCTAATACGCTGAGGCAGAGTACAAAGTGCCAGTATACTCTACATTGTGCCAGCAGAAGAAAGGACACAACGTTAGCGAGGGATCCACCCACCAACAGCACCCGCGGACCGTATCGATCAAACAGAGGCCCGACCTGGACTCCAAGGAATAGAGTCAGAAAGACAAGAATAGCGGTAATCCACCCCACGTCACGGACGCTGTACTCTGCCAGCTGGTGGGTGCTGATATAGTCCTGGACCGATCCGACTGTTGCACGTTAGTAGCCGTGCTCCGCTAAGATGAATATGAGGATGGATACCTGCAGTTTGAAAGCCAAACGATGGAAACATCATCAGAAATGAGCCCAGTAGACACGTCCAGGCTTCCCGGCCTCCTTCTGGATAGGCCCAGCTGACTCTGCCCTCCGTCTGCGTATCTCCGTCCTGCGCTACCAATTGATTCGTGGGTTGGTCATGGCGTATTGGGCGCATGTCGTAGGTTTCTGCGCTACTTGATTGCTGCATTTTGTTTGGCCTTCAGTTAACTGTTCGGAAAAGAATGTTGAAGTTGAAAACGCACATGGTGCAGGAGAAGGTGTATTTGGTATTTGGTGGATCAAATGTCGTTTAAAGGGCGCATTCCCCACCCAATCACACAGATCTCGTATAACAGAAATAAGAAGATCAATCCAAACACCGATTGCATAAATGACATGTTTATCGATATTCTAGAAGCGCTCTGAGTGCAAGTGGACAACTGCTGTATACCAGGGTGAGGAAATATGTGTGATGAACGGCTACTAACTGAGACAGGACCACTCAGGAATGGTTTCATTCAATTTCTTTCTTGAGAATGGTAATTGTTTGTAGGTAGCAGATACTAGTAGTATAAACTGCTTGTTGCAAGTGGCCATGCTTCGGATAGCTTCATGTCTTCTCGTTTGGGTAAGGGAAGTCACAGGACGCAGCATTGCATAGACTGCTCCCGGCATAGTTTCTTTGCAACAAGTTTCTTGCTAGAGCTCTGGCAACATAAATATACACTAAACTTCTCAAGCGAATATCAACCACTAACTATATACTTTCTCTCGTTCTTATCATATTTTCCTTCGAACTGTGTAACTTGGCCAATTCACTTGCCACTGGGGTTTCTATTCACTGTATTCAGTTATTTTCCAAGTATCTCATTCACTATTACATACCTGCACCCACTTGTCAATCATGTTTCATCTCTTCATTCCAACTCCCTTCCTTCATTTGCTTCGCGATGGCCTACTTGCTCATGATTCCAGTTCTGTCACTTCTTGCTGATTTTCCTGTCCTTACTTGCTGATTACTGCTACCGCAATTGAATTGCCGGCGTCTTCCATTATCTTATACCGGTCAATCCGAGGAACCTGGAAAGGAAGAGAGAAGCAGAGGCAATGCCAGGAAGGTGAGCATTTCGTTTGACATTTCCTTTCGGTTTGGGAGCAACCTACTGATTCGATAAACTATGCGCCCTGCTACGTCACAGACCACGCAGCCAAAACCATCCGGACCAGAGTCCATCAGGCGGTTGCCAGGCTGGAAGCGCTTAACGTTTGGTTCCTCACGGCGGCTCCAATCCACTCTGTGCTTGGTATCCGGGACACTAGAACAAAGTCTTTCTCTAGATTGGGAACTACACCAATCAAGAAAATCGCCCGGTGGTAACCCAATCAACAAAGCCAAGCTTTCTTAGCTGGGAGGAGTACGTGACTCTCCTTGACTACAGGCTCATCTACAAGCATGAGTACATGGCGGGGCTGATAAAGTCCCTTGCGGACTCAATCCCAACTCTGAAGGTGATTGAGATACCACAGGCGGGCTTACATCAGTATAAGGGATTCCTTAAGCTCCCCGATGAGTTCTGCCTCAACCTACAGCCTGGTGACGCGATGAAGGTGAACAACTTTGAAAGAATCACATGTTGATGAATGCAACTAGGTATGCGCAGTTGATCTCCCTGGCCCCTGCAGTTCTCGGGCACGAGTTTGTCTGAGACCTTCGATAAGCCCCATGGATTATTCATTCCACACGGATTCTATCGCTTATACGTCTCCTGCAGGTGTTTGCTAGATTTTGTGACCAACCCTCACACCTACATGGGACAAGGCCCAGAAGGAAGTATCCCACTCAGTGATGGGGGAGGTGGAGTTTAAATGCAACAAAATCTCGTTACAGGTTGCTCACTCAGGCATCTCAAAGTGTTCACAAACACAGGTCAGTCGCCTGCATTCTACTGTACGATATTGCTAACCCTGAGCAGTGCAAGAACACTTCGCTGCACCTGATACAAACTCACGACAGACGCTGTACTCTTGTATGGTGTCCGCGCTTCTTGGAGATATTCGGGCTCGACAAGAAGTAGGAAGACGCTTGTCTGAAGCCATGGATCCACTACACCGGTTGCTCTTTCATGCGGTGGTCCCTCGCCCGGTCTGGCACAAGAATGGGGTCTGCTGGTCCACATTATTCACCAGGATAAGTTTGTCGACGAGCTCATTGCTCGAGTGCGATACTTTCTTATTGTCCGAGTCAGAGGGACCCCTGCTTCGGGTAAGACAACTCTCATGAATCTATTAGCCAATAAGTTGCTCGAATGTGAACCGGAGACACAGCAACTTATCTTCTGTGTTGTTCATCAACTGCCTCAATGGACGATCTCATACAGCAGCTGTTCCCGGGCTGACAGAGCGTCAACAAGCACGCCTTCCTCATAATGGGAACATGACTCATCCTGCTGCCCTGGATCTGATCTCTCTGGAGACCTTCCATGATGGCCTTGTTGTTCTCTGCGAGGGAGCGCTCCCAGACCACCACCTTCTGAACGCCGGTTTCCTTGTAGACCTTCAGCGCGTTTGGGAGGCCTCCTTGACCCTGCTTGACGCTGAAGGCTCTGTGGTCCCGGTCAATTGTGAGTACTTCTTTCTTATCAGGTGGTTGTCTAGTTATCTTGCTAACACCAATGTCCAATGTCCTAGGAATGTTGTGTGCTCCTCCCTACATCGCCACGTCATACTAACCAGAATCTAGTTGATGTATCTGAAGGTCCAATGATCCCCAGAAATACATACCGGTCAAAAATCCTAGCATTTTTTGAATCACTTAAAGCAATACAAATGTGAGTACATACGTTGAGCTGGGCCTAATAATGACCTTTTGATTGGATGAATGCATGTCTAACATTGTATAGGCCACGTATCGAAGAACCTGCTGCTCTGGCTTCGGCCACCCCTCCTCCTCCTCCTCCTCCTCCTCCTCCTGCTGCTGCTGCTGTTGCTGCGGCTCCGGCTCCGGCCCCCGCTTCCAAGAGTCAGTATATCGATTCAACCTTCATGAGAAGCATCTAGTGGCACTGCTAATATAGATATAGAGCGGGAAAGATGCGGGGAGTGTGGAAATTTCCACAAAGGGGATTGCTGCGGGCGTCGCCATATTGGCGACTGCCCCCCCGCCCCGGCCGCTTCGGCGGTTTCGCCACCAGTTACGGTGGTTTATAATGTGTACGACGGGGTGGTGAATTCCTTCTGTCCGCCTCCTACTACCTCCTTGGTGGGCGGGGGGATCCACGGCGGTTATTGAGAACTTCGCTCGGCATGTTGGGTCGATTGGTGCTGCAACTCAGTTGGAATTCCTCGCTCTTATCGACCAGCTAAAGCGCCGCACCCTCATCATCAAAGTGATGCTGCACCCCGAACACAACATAGCCGCGCGGAAATTCGATTCGCTTATCACTTTGGAGCTGGATTCGATGGGCGTGTTGGAAGAGGTCGATCCCCTTGGATCGGCATCCACGAAGTCAATGGGTCGGACACGATACTACGTTCGCTAGACTGATGTTTGTGCGGACTAGGTGGCGGCCAGCATGGCCGGCCACCTACTAGTAAGAAATGTTGTGGAATCTCTGCGATCAATGCTCAATAAAGGTAATATAAGGCTGCAATGCTTGTGTCGTTAGCAACTGCGTCGGCGGAAAGGAGTGCTCTACGTCTAAGAATCTTCTGACCCCTTGGTCAAGGTAAGTCTATCAAAGACAAAGCTACATCTTGACATGTTTTGACAGATCCCACTTTTCCATTATAAATTGACATCCTGGGTGATCATCATCTGTCTGATTATGAATACTAATGATGTGGTTTATACAGTCGAAGTCCTCCACAACCAGGACAACAACGAACACCACCACCACCACCAAGCCTGTCAAGAGGCGACACCGTTCCCCTAGTCAAAAGGCTAAGTCAAAGCAATTCTTCGAAAGAAGGATCAATGAAAGGAAGGCAGCGAAAGCAGCGAAGGAGGAGACCACCAATGCCTGATTTCCTTTTAATTTTGTTTGATAGGTAGTTCGTCATGTTTGCATTACGGGTCTTTACTGAGGCGGATGCTCGAGTAGCTGTACAGCTGCTAAGATGTGAGAGTGGACGGACTCAAGACACAACAGAGCATCAAAGCTACTGCCATCATGACATCTGCTTGATCTTTTGCCTTCCTCAGCCAACCAGCAGAGATACGCCTAATGAACACGGGTACCTGGACCATGCTTCGGCAGGGGCCCTAAACAACGCCAACAAGTACCACCATTCCGCTGTCACCGTTGAGAACCCAGAACACTTGGAGCTTAAATTGCGAGAAGACAACATCGCTGAACAATGAAGAGCTGGAACGCCATGAGTTCGGATTCTTCTAAATGTCGAAAACTTTTATCTCAGAGTTTGCAGCTGCCTTGGCCGGGATACCATTTCGGCAACTTTCTGGGCGCTCATACAGGTCTGCGCCCTAGAGAGTCTCAGAATTTTAGAAATCACTTTCTCTTCTCCTTTATGGCCTCCCGAGAAAATTGGTCTCTGGAGGCAGGAGATTTTTCGTGACTTGAACGGTTACATTTAATGGACTTCCTGCAGAGCCGAGAGGGCCCGCTAACAGGCGACGAAGCATTCCACCTCCACTTGAGAACGGAGTGTGCACGACACGGAATCAACTCTGAGCGTGCCATCTGCCCCAGTACGAGTGTTTGTTTTGCTGTCTTTTTTGTTGGAGGTTTATGCTAGTTGAGCAGTGAACTTGCCCACATCATATACCCCAATGCCGGTGCGAGTGCGGAAGAGTGGTCAGAGTGGCTAAGGCCTTGCACCCTATGCCTGGAGATACTGGATATGTCGCGTGGGCGACGGCACTGCAGTTCTTTATGAACGGGATAAAGGCGATCAGCGTTCGGTTGGCAATGATACCTGCTGTTGCAGCTGCCGCAATGCATGCCATGCGCCTGATCATAACCCAGCTGGCTGACATTTTTAGCTGATGATTCTGTGAGTAGCCCCTTTCCTGGTGATTGTGCATTCTCATTGTGTCACTGTGGCTGACAGGTAGTCAGTCAGAAGATGAGGTGGTCGTGATGAAGCCCTGCCTGCTCGGGCTAATCTCCGAGTCATCTTCCGTGAGTAGTCCCTTTCCTGGCAATTCCGTGTCATCATCATGTCGACGTTACTGAGGCTTGCAGAACTTATTAAAGCAGCACGAATGCGATAATACCAAAAGTTTATCTTCCGATCGCCTTCATTCTGATCATGGCACTTCGTTTTGGGCGACTGGACACGGACATCAGTACCTGCTTAGAGACGGCCAAGAAACGACCCAGCAAGCAAACACAATGGAAGAACCCACATCAGATCCTTTTCCCACTTGTCAAACCAGACAAGACGATAGACTTCACCGAGCCATGCCACCCTTCAATGATCACTGTGGTTCTTAGGAAGATGTACCCCTTAGCGGGCGTTACAGAACACCTAACATCAATGAGTCTGCGCCGGGGCTTTGCCCATGATCTTGCCCGGGTGCCAAATTCACAAAGTGATAAATTATAGCCGAGTCCGCTCGGCACTTGGCCACACAGACCGTTCTGATGCCCGCCCTGGTGCTACGATCAGGAAAACACCAGCGCGCTGCTTCTTATGAAAAGTCTTGAGCAGAAGCCCGAATGAGGAACAGACCGAGGTCGTTCTTAGCAGGGCCCTCTTCTTCTCTAAGCCTAGAGATCTAACCCTAAGTTATGCGACTATCTGCCTTCCCATGTCATCAATTAGTAACATGGCCAGAGTAAGTATATAGCTCCTACATATCTTTCCCAATAACCGAAGCACCTTAACGTAGCACCGCAACTCCTGCAGATTGAATCGCTAGCTAATGGGTCCCACGGCAGGCTAGATGTGGCACACATCATACCCTACAGTTACACCTTCGAACGCCTTGACCAGCGGGCAGATCCATGTACTGTGAAGGACTAGGTATGTGTGTTCTGGTCTCCAAACACTCCCAGCTGCTTTTCTTTCTATACTGCCAGTACACCAGAGCAATTATTAACATACAATTAGGACGTGGAGAACTATCCTTGTCGCATAGCCTTTCTTCTCAAGACAAGTCGCCCGTTACATGGACGATTGCACGTGCGTCTCCGGCTTCTATTCCACGTATGAGAGACTGGCGGGAAAATACTACCAAAGCAGCTATTTAGTTGCATTGTGGGAGAGCTCAGATGCAGCTTCCAAAAAGACTATAAAGTGGACAGAGACTCTGTCCCAATGGGACAATGACCAGATCATTGCATCGATCGTGTCCTTTACACCAAAGGAAGCACGAGAACTTCTCAACGCAGAGAACCCCCAAACATTATCCGAAATAAGGGCCCTCAGATGGAAGCACACCTTGGAGCCTGGGGTGTACATCAAAATCATTGAGGCTAAGGAGACGTATGTAAACATTGGCTCCACCACTTCAATTCACGGTGGATGAGTCTGAGTGCCGTTAAAGAAACGAATTCACGAAGGTCTCCCACCTACTTTGAAGCTACGCAATCACTAACTATTAAACAGGCATCTGCCAGCTGGGAGAGTCGCCTCTCGAGAACCCTTGTCGCCCTTGCTATGAAATAGTCCGTGGCCAGAGGGTGGATCAAGATACAACTCTGTCTAGTCACTGGATGTTAGGAAGTCCAATTTTGAAGATCTATACCTGGCCTCTGAAAGTTGTTGTCGCTGTTCTTCGACAATGAGCATGTCCTCCTGTGGAAGGATGCGATCTTCCCAAACCCGAATAAACCCACCGACAGCTTCCCAGAAAATCGTGTTTGCCTCTCTCCAGCAGTACACACAACCCCAGGCCTGGAAGACTGCCCGGTATACGTCAAGAATAACGTCAATGCAGAGCGGAATGGCTCGTTTGCACTATATCAACACACTAGAAACAGACTGTCAAGATGCGCCTAGTTTGAGGCTTGGTGTTTTGTGACAGGTCCAAAGATCTCCAGAGTCCAGACTCACCTCGGAGGCCTGAGCATGGTTGGGCTTACATTATCGATGAGTTGCTTCATTCCAGTCATCAACTCCGGGACTCCCAACAATGAGTTTGGACCAGACATATATGCTACAAAAGAGTTCGAAACGGCGTTCGATTATGCTCGGCCAAGCGGTGCCGTGATGGTGTTCAAGGATCCCGACCTCCAGGATCTCAATGTGTGGAGTCTCTCTGCGAGAGTCTGAAGACAGCGAGGGGACAATGCCAATCGGACAGCATCTACCAATGCGACCCCCTATATCCCAACGCTAAAAGTTTTAGGAGTCATACCGCACTACACCAAAGCAATACTGGACTGCCCTTGGCAAGCCGACGCGAATATGAGACACATTCGATATGCCATCAATATTGTGGAAAAGCACCCTGTTGAGATACTCTCCAGCGGCAAATCTTTCAGAATATGGATCGCATCTCCTTACAACGGAAAGGATGCTCATATTGTTCTTCGACACAAGATCTCGCTCATTCAAGAATTCAACGGCCCTGTCTTTACCACTTCAATTGTCATGGATTCTCGGATCCCACAGTTCTTCTTTTATCATGGGGTTTTAACGGATAATGGTGTTCGTTTCAGGGCATTGTCTGCAAAAAACCAAGACCTATACCTGACAGTCGCTAGCAAGCTGGGTGGCATCGCAATCAGGCAGGACTTCTATGAGACCATCCATCGTCCTGCCATTTATGGGCAGTTCACCCGGGAACATAGGGAAATCGTCAACCGGTTAGAAGCCGACGCTGATTCCCAGCTCAAGAAGGCATTCCCTCACATTGTCCGGTTCAAACAGGTAGGTAATCTTCTCATATTGAAAGAATTCTTGTTACTAATGCACATTATAAAGCCATCGTTCATACTATGCGTGGTTGTGGACCTCCCGCCTGGACAGGGCAGCGGCCCCTGTCTGGCAGTGAGCGGGCATGCTGCCCAACAACAGGAATCACCTTTTGACCGTCCTTCTCCTCTGCCTGCTGTTCGGCACCCACCACCCTTCGATCAAGCTACTTCCACTACCGCAGACGCTTCTCTCAGTCAGGAGTTGTTCCCACTGATGTTGGGGGTGATTGGAGTCCGAGGATCCTGGTGATGGCGAGTCACTAGTGGCCATGAACCTAAAAGGGAGCACTTTGTTCGTCCCTATCTGCATCTCTTGGATCCAAAAAGTCTCTCCGCAAACCACCGCTCTGTTGTACCTTTGCGGCTGTGGGCAACATCTGCCCTCTTTGCTTCTCTCTTTCAGGAGACAATCACTATGATTTCTCGGGTGATCACCAAAGCTCTGGGCAAGCAGTGACAGGAAGAACCGAGAACCGCGTACAATCCGCATTGACTCCATCGAACACAATTGGCGCCGACATCCCACCACTCCAGCGGAAGGTGGTTCGACAAGAATATTCCCAGACCTTCTACTGTGCATGTGCTGAGTGTTCTTAAGTAAAATTCAATGACCTCGAAGCCGGCGAGTATAAAAAGTTCATGTCTGGCTCACAAGCGCGGGCTGTTCATCAAGAGTCACCTCGTTCCGAACAAATCGTATGCAGGTCCTGATCAGTCTGGCGGCAGATTTGCCGACATTTTTCAAAGGCATTGAGTCCAAACTCGCAGGACTACCGACCAGTCCCGGAGACCAGGATATCCTGGTCCTGGTCACGACAAATTCACGAGCTCGCAACACATTTGAAGACGGCCGTGCTGGTCCCCTGTATGTATCTTCATTCCATATTTTACTATACAATGTTCCTTTTTTCGTGCCTACCATATTGTGGCTAATATTTCTGGTAGTAAACGTGCACCTGGTCCTGCTAATCCAGGAACTAATCAACCTGAAGAAGGCGTCCAACCTCGACTGCACAATTACGCGTGTACGATATGTGCCCAAGTTTGGGACACACTCGTATACCACTATTGTTGATGGCGTGGTGCGGTCCTGGAGGACTCGGCCGCAGTCTGGGCTTTGATCGATACCGACGCAGCAACGAGGGACATTATGCAGGGTTACATTCACCACCGGGCCAATAACTACGACCATTCTGAGAAGATTAAAGGCGCCGTTAGAAACAACGTCGTAGAATGGCCACAAGTCTCCAATGTGCTCCCTGCGGTGCTGGGCCCGGCCGCGCCGCACGTGGACGTCCTGGGTGTCAAAGGGACTCAGATCCCGGAGCTGGCGGTTCTCTGGTTCATCATTCAACTGATGAGGGCTAAGCACTCCCTGTTCCCGCGGTCATCCGACCGCGGCAAAAAAGCAAAGAACAAGCCGCAGGTGAATCCAGCGCTGGAACCCATCTACCACGCCACGCGGGCAGTGGAGAAGTCACTGGCGGCCAATGACGGCAAACATCTCTCACCTGACAACCAAGGGCCTGACGATGGATGCCCAAGCGCTGCAGACTTCCCGATCTGCTGCCCCTGCGTGCGGACAGGCCCACTGCCAAATACATGGGTATCCGCGATGGTTTGAATCTGGTTGTCGCCCCTAAGCGCCTCCTTCCAGTGTGGGTGAAGGAGTGGAATGACACAGTCAAAGCACACTCATTGCTGAATATGACCCTGCTGCTCGGGCACGGTCCTGCAATCCAGGGCGTCAAGACTGTCAAGGGATTTGAGGGCAAGGGATCACTTATGGTTGCTGAGGCTGAGCAGTGGCTTCATGCATGTGCATGCATCCAGAGTGCTAACAGGAGTCTACATACAGAGGAAATACAAGCGCTTGCAGCTACTTCTAAGCGCGCCAAGGGTACCATTCCCAAGATGCAGATCGATTTGAGATCCTCTCAGCCCCCAGAAGTGTTTCATCACACGTGCTGGAAACCTTGACCCTGTACGGCAAGGCCCCGAAACCTGCAGCTGGCTCGGGTCCACGCATCAGTGTAAACGGCGCCCGATTTGCGCGGGCATTTCGGGATGAGTGCCATGAGGAGAAGGGTGACGGAACCACCGTCAAGGTTTTTGATTATTTGCGCCAGAAAACTATGCCAGATTTTTGGATGTTAAGTGGCACGCCGTTTGAGACCTCGCCCAGCGACGTAGCCTTCTACATGGGTTTACTGGAGAAATCTCGGCGGGCGCAGCATCAGGCGCAGCATTTCTGTACCTCCGAAAAGATCAAGCAACTCGGGCAGCGGTTCTCAGATGACGGCAACCTTGGCTCCGGCCAAAACGTCACCAACCCGGCCAAATTCAACATGGCCGCGGACGACATGTTCGGCGGGGGGCCATGAAGAGGTCAACACTCAGTCCTGGTTGGTTCTTGCTAACAGGTGTAGTGCTATTGTCCGCAGCGCTGGCGACGAGCCAAGCTCTGGGCATTTGTCGAGATGAACGGCTACTAGCAAAAATAGGAGTGAGTTGTCGTCCTTCGCAAACTAGAACATATCCGAAGAAAGAGCACTCGTGACCGAAATACATTGTTCCAGGCCAGACATCTGTCCACACCACACGGCACTGATACTTCGATCAGCGTCCGCATACATGCTATAATAAATCGACAACGTCCTCGGGCAGTCTGGTGTGAGGCGTACATACACAAGAAAGTTGAAGAAACTCTGTCAGGGACAAGTCCAAGGGTACCATGTATCCTGGAAGATGCATGCCTGTACGGGACACCCTCGGCTGTATTTGAATGGAAGGGAGCATGCTCCCATTCATGCCTCACTGAGCATCAAAGAACACCAAAAGTACAAACAACCGCCGAGAAACGGCACCAGCCCGAGGAAAAACAAAAGGAGAAACAAAAGGAGAAAAAGAGAAAAGTACAAATGACCGCTGAGGAACGGCATCAGGAGGAGGAGAAACAAAAGGAGAAAAAGAAGGCATACAATGCAGAATGGCGCAAAAAGAATTCAGAGAGAATCAAGGCACTTCAGCCTGCCCGCATCTTTGAATTTAGAGAGCTCCGCCCTCTGGAAATGATCATGAGGCCACCACGTGAACGGCGCACGCGTCAGAAGGCGTGAGCAGAGAGCTCGCCCGGTGACTGATTTAAACCAAACACGAATCCAGTCTACTATAGCCTAGGGCAAGCTCTATGACTATTAGTACTGTCAGGACAATCTTGATTCGTGATCACAGGGCGCAGAGTGCCCCGAATTGAGTCACGGAACGGGTAGGCAGCAGGGGCCCGAATCTTGCATACTGACGATCATTTAGACCCGATGCATCATTACGCAAGGCACCCAAAGCTTCTGGCTCTGTCCGAAACCAAACGGGTCGGGCCTTAAGGCGTTTGACCCCAAGCTTGCTGGCTGGTTTGGCCGCGTGGCCTGCAATGAAGGCCACGAGTTCAATACATTGACTGGAAATTCCACCAAGCGGTGGCTCGCTTGAAGACGAGACCGGTAGATCTCCTAAGAAACATTTCTAACTATCATCCTCTATCATCCTCATACAAGGTAAGCTTACAGATCTCTTGTATATCGACAGACAGCTAATCGGGGAACAGTCTTTACCACTTTTGCCAAATATCACTTACACCAGCCAAAATGAGCATTCAGCCCGTAAGCATTTCTTTGACCAACTGTGTGCTGTGCCCTCGCTGATTTTCCCTGGCATCCAAGTATGGTACCTTGTTGACCTTCCATGACGAGTACCGGGCCGTAAGTGATCAGGAGTATGAGGGCGCCGTAAACCTGCGTCTGGGACCTCCTCCTCAACCATTATTTTAATCAAAGTGACGGTTTTGTCCATAAAACACCGGACAAAGTCGAAAGGGGCTATGTTGGTATGAATAGCCTTCTCGCTCATAACTCATCTCAGCATGGCAAATATAATTGCAATGACAGCGGCTGATGCCCTCAAAGAACCCGTACCAATATCCAAGTCATTATAAGACATACAACCCGTCACGCACTACACCCAGTCTACTATGTGGGAAACCTCGAGCTATGGCCGTCTCTTCGTCGCCGAAGTATTCTGTCGCGCCCCAGCCTGACCAAAGAACAAGGTGTGTAGTAAATAATCATTCTTATAAGCTAGTTACTAGCTAGTTCTGTTTAGGAAGCATACCAAAGCTTAAATAATTTAAAGAAACACATTCAGGTGACGCACAAGGATGACTCTTGTGTTCTTACCTCAAAGGGTGGTGCCCCCAGCACCAAAGAACAGCAGATCGCGATCAGTAAGTACCTACTTAACTAGTTTATGACTAGTTACTAAGTAATTGCAGAGTGATATGATGAGCTCATCAAGTCATACCACTTTGGTTATGATGATGAGACCCCAGAGCTTCCCCCCTCCCCCTCCCTAAGGATGGACTTGTAAGTACCTCCTAGTTACTGGTTCCTAAGTAGTTACTAACAAGTTAGGTTCACATGACAAACATGCGTAAGATGACAAAGGAGATGGGCTCTACAGTGCCCTGCGAGGCCTGTAAGGAAAAGGAGAAGCCAAAAGGTAAGCTTTAAATTTCTAACCTAAGGCCGAAGTGGCTAACACTTTCCAGAATCAGACCTGGAGTTCACAGGTTATAGCTACTAGAATTATTGGACCAAATGCTGCTAGCTCTACTAATGAAGAGCATGTCTTTGTCTCCTGCGAGACTGATGTTCAACGGAGACTACTAGGACGAGCTGGTCAAGTTTTAGGTACTGCCTTAAATCTCAGGGGCACGACCTCATATTTTTGGCAGTTTCAAAGGCACTATACCACCATATGAAGGATATAGCAAAGTTCCCGATTTTGTCACCATGGACAGACCGTGGATTCTTCTACTTCTGATGGAGAACAAGTGAGGGTGAACGGAACTTGATATGGATGTTCGTTCACTTGTCAAGATCAATCTGGGCATCCTTGACTTCATGGTACGGACGGCAAACGGTGTGTGCTTTTCGCCGGTGCTTGCGCGAATTGCATATGGTATTCGAAAGGTGCGCAGTGCGAGTTATATGGCGGAAAGTCTGCACAGCCGTTAATACTTGATATGCCACAACCTCCGCAGCATACCCGACTGTCAGACCTTCAGGTCTTCAATGTGACCACGAAGGACATCACACAGACTGATAAACACAGAAATTGGCGCAGGTCTGCCTCACCCCGCAGATCCAATCAACCATCGCCGACCCGGTGTGCTGAGACGAGAGAACAGTGAGGATTGCGGGGGACTTGAGGAACTTTGGGAGACTTAATACTTTTCCCCATCACCAGATACGGTCATTTTGCGATCTGTAACCCCATCTGAAAGTAGTCCTTCAAAACAACTTCCTGAAACCGAATCTTTGGTTCTTGCAGAACAGGGAAGGAACCAGAGGCTGTGTTCCTGTTTCCACAGCCCAGAAAAGTGCTCGAGAGCATAATCAACAGATATTGTGAAGCCCTCCAGAGGTAGTGATACTGCAAAACATTACAGCGCTTCTCCCTTCTCCCTTCTCCACCCTCTGCTTCTTCACCCTCGTCTTCTTCTTTCTTCCCACATGCGCTATACTTGTCTTCTTACTTCTCACTAAAGACGGAACAATGACCGGTATTACGTCTATACTGGCAGCCATCGGAGTCTGGGTTACAGCATTTCCGGCTTGTGGACCAATACGCTGTGGGAGACACTCATCCCTAGCTGAGCTTCCAACCCCAGGAACTGTATAATGGCATGACGAGAACGATCTTGAGAGACGGATGGAGGTAGTCGACTGGATCGTTCCAGAGCAACGATGAGCCACGACGCAAGCCTCCCTGGCGCACTCTGTGGTGAGACCATATCAGATGGAGGGCATTACCTGTCTCATTCGCTGTAAGTATCTAGGGCTATCACGAATCTACTACCCTACAATGCCAGACACGTACTACCATAGAAACGGTAGCATGTCCGAGTGATTTGGGACCTCAATTCATAATCTTCCCCTGAACCTTATTTTCTGTCTACCGACTGGCATGATGCTCAATGGATAAAAGACTGAAACGGTTTGATACACTCCCTATGGATAACGGGTTTGTTGGCTCCACCGGAGGACAATGCATTGCTGCCCAGGAGGAACATTACGGAGTAGACGAAAGGGTAGACTCTCCAACCTCGCTGCAAGTCATTTGAAACGAGTTTTATCCTAGCAGGGGAATAAGGCTGCACACACTTTCGTTGTTTGTGTTACTGCTTCTCCCACTCAAAATCTTCGATTTCTTCACTCAGCTTGAACAACTACATTTTACCTTTCAGTTGATTACTGCGTTCATTCAACATGGCCGGACTACAGAACAGTCCTGTCGAATTTGCGATACCAGCAGATATCGAGGACTGGGTAGAACTTTGCAAGAGCCACAAGCTCGGAAATACGACCTTGAGCGGTTTGTGTGGGTGGAGCATGTCTGGGGATGGTATGGGCTTCCATTTTCTGGTCCAGGCGATAGCGGCTGTCGAGAGGGAATACACGTAGGGATGCCTGAGAACCAGGAACATTTATATTGCGTATCGATCGAAGCGGTTTGTTATGCGGCAGAAAGGGTGGGAGGTGCGTTTTGCATGCTCTTGATATGTTTCGTTCTGAGGGTGGAGGATGAGAGGCTGGTGCTTCTTATTATTACACTATAGGCCGGGTAGAAGGACTGGCCTGGTTCAAAAGTGGTTTGTGTTCTCTGTAATCTACTGCATTTGGATACGAGTTGAGGTTCATTGCTGCCAGTCAGAGATATCACACCACCATGACTATGAATATGTATTCTAGACTATGTACATCGTCTGCACACATTTTAGTCTATCGGTATAGATTCCAATAGACATTGAGCCGTCGTTTCCTTCTACTACTAAGCTATACACAATATATCTACTAAAGAGAAATCATCAAAACACCAGCCATCGCAGCAACAACCCCATACGCAACCAATGGCCAGCCGCCCACCCGGACCGCAGCAGGATTCACCGCACTCGCAGCCGCACCCTTGGACGTGGAGGTACTCGCCGCGCCACCACTACCACCGGTAGCACCACTTCCTCCCGTCGGCTGGGAAGTGACCGTTCCCGTCCCTGCGGAACCAGCCTGGCCAACCAGCGACTTACAGTCCGCGGACTGGCCCTTGGGCGACTGCACCGAGGCCGCCCCGGCAAAGTCACACGCCGAGGCAGCCTTATTCTGGCTCTTGTAGTACCGATCAAACACATACGACAGCTGGTCCTTGCTCGTGCAGACGCTGTACGCGCCGTACGAGCCCGTCGTGGCGTTGTGCGCGATCCCGTCGCAGATTCCGCCGCCGTACCCGCAGACTTGCCCGAAGAGCTTGCCGTACTGGTGTGCGTCGACGG